CAAAGCTTTCTTCGGCGCAGGCGAGGCGGATTTCGTCGGAGTGGCTGCCGGAGCTCTAAACAGACGTAAGCTCTCGGAGAACAATCTAGATCTGGCGTTGTTGATCGGAGAACAGAAGGGGTCCTTCATGGCTTGCTGTCACCGAGTAGAAGGGAGCTCGTCGGAACTGCCATTTTTTGGGTCGTTTCTAGCAGGATGATAGCTGCGTGACACAGCCCTGTGCAGCTTGAAGGGGCCTTTATCCAACCGGAACGAGCCAAGACCGCCCTCTGGCACACAGCTGCGAGCCAAGACGACAGAGATGAGTGGGGAGTGACGATACCGCGACAAAGGTGGAGGACAAAGTAAGCCGCGGACGTCGTCTTCTTGCGCCGAGGTCCGGTCGAGCTGAGCCACCGAGATTAGGATTTCCAGATGCAGAAGTTGCAGATCCATGTCTGAAAGTACAGTAGGTGGCTCGTGGCGGCCGGCCGGTGGCGGCGGTGCTAGCCCAAAAGCGGGGCGACCCACCTTGAGACACTGCGGCACGTTGATGGTTGCTCCGGTCAGATCTGGGAAATCCCGGATCTCCCATGCGAGAACACATAATTTTTGTTGTATTTTCAGATTGCTTTTTCACTGATTTTCTGTGATTTGGGTGAATTTTTGGGTAATTTGGGGAGGTTTTCTCACTTGATTGTGTTCAACCTCTCAACGAGAGCACCAAATGATGGAGAGTCCACCCGGGGGGTATCCTATCCGAGGGGTTATTGCGGGAATAACTAGAGAGAAGTCAGAGCAAAATAGGAGGAGAGAGAGTCGATTTATTAAATGAACTCAGCGTGTGGAGTTGAGGTGTAGATCATGTCGATTACAAGGAGAAATGGGCTGCTATTTATAGCAGCAATAAATGCGATGGGAGTACACATGTCAGTAATCCAACGGTCGAAGGGTCACCTCAGCCGGTTGGCACCGACAGTGGTACGTCCACCGCATTGAATGCGGTTGGCGGACGTGACGTGGCATTAAATGCGGTGGTTGGCTGTCCCTAAAAGGAATCTTCGATGATTGAGTGTGCTTGGCCGAGCGCTCCTTGTGTTGCCGAGGGCTCCATGTAGCCAAGGATCCCTGTGTGGCCGAAGGCCCTGTGTGACCGGAGGCATGGTTTAGCCGGGGGCTTCTCTGATGCTGAGGGCTTGATAATGCCGAAGGCTCATGTTTTTCGCCGTTTTCTCCCAGTAGCCTCTTATGCTAGAGAAGGCTACCCTGTGAGGTTTGGAGCCTTCGGCCAAGGAGGCCGAAGGCACCCCAGTGCGTATCCTGGGCTACGTTGAGGCTCGGGCCGCTGCATTTTGGGCCTGAGTTGTTCCCTGGGCCCAATGAACTTGTGTAGGAGAAGTAGGAGTCTATGGGCCGGGGGTTCCTGGGCCATATACTCCATCAAAATGTGTCCAAAATCTAATATCCCCTCCACCTAAAAGAGTAAAGGAGAAAAGGTTTTGCCATGTAATCTGATAAGTCCGTATTTCGACAGGCATTTGATGTGTATTGAGATTGACTTTTGATGGTTTTCCTACTTTAAAGGTGTCATAAGTCTCATTCTTAACTTAAGTCATATTCTACCGGGCGTTGGTTCGGGTTTGCCATTATTGGAGTCAAAATCAGGGAAATTGAGCCTGACATCGGTGCTTGAGAAGCAATCGAACAAGTCAAGATGCATTTGAGAGAGAATCAAGATCTTTGGAGGTCACCGGGAGGTTCACGATGAACATTTGATGATAAAAGAGCTATATGATTGGCTACGGGATCAAAAGAAGACGAATAGAGCTTGAAAACAGTGATCAGGAAGATGTTATGTCAAATGTTCAAGCATATCTTTTTGTAGAAATATCCAAAGTACACGATTCAAGTTTCATATGAAATCTAACTTCAAGGGCTACAAAACATATAACGACACCTTTACGAGAATCTGAGAGGAGCAAGGTGAAAACAGATGAGGAATTCAGGTGAACGCTGTTGAGATTTCAGAATGTGACCTTCCACCATGTTATTCATATCTTTTGATTAGATGATTCAAATCCAGTTTTACAAAGTGTGTTGGATAGAGGACTTCATTATCTATAACTTTCATGAGGAAAGCGTAGTCAAATTCAGAAGGGAAAGACGCACGTCGTGCGCCCGATGTACGCACGTCGTGCGCGGAAGAAGAAAATCGCGGGATAGCTACTGTCGTCACGCACGCCGTGCGTTCCAGGGAGGCACGCCGTGCGTTCCAGGGAGGCACGCCGTGCCTGACCCCGGGACGCGCGTTTCTTGCTCCGGACGCACTGGGGGACGGATGCTATGTGTGGGTGCCGTGCGTGCGCTCCCAGTGTCCTTTTTCTACCAGAATTGCTCTGTTTTTTCTATTTAAACAGGCTGTAAACTCCCATTTTCAGGGGGAATTAGAGAGAGTGACTAGCATGAAATTTAGAAAGCTTTTCAGCCTTGTTCATCAATATTTTGGGATTCTTTGTAAGTTCCATCTTTTTAATTATTGACAATTAATTCTTTTCATCTCAATTCTATTGATTCTGCAATTGTGAATTGTGAGTAGTTTTAATTAGGGATTTGGGATTGATGAAGATGTTATTCATCATGTATGGCTAATTTCATGATGGATTAATTGCATGAATCTTTATTTATTTTGTGTATGAATGATTTAATTGATATCTCTTGTAACCTAAAACGACCGTTAGAATTAAAATTGTATGTAGAATGAATTAAGAGAAATCTAATTTAATCTTGGACACCTTCACACGCACTAAATTGTTCGCTGAGATTAGTAGTGATTAAGGGGCCGTACGCTAGCTCATTTTGGCAATAATTTAGGATCATATTGCGTGAGAGATCAGCCTGGTCCCTAAATTATTGTACTCTACGCGGCGAGAGCGGTAAGAACTTAATATTGATTAACGTTACGTTGCTCAATTAAATAAATTTCATGTGATTAAGGCTGATCAGCCAGAAATCTGATTATCCCAGAATCAATCCATGTTCCCTTACGTCATTAATTGGAAAGAATCCTTTAGTTTAGTTGCTTTATTGCATTAGTTTCATTTCAAAAAAAAAACAATCTCGCACATCGCATTTATTTTATTTTATTTTATTTTTTTCATCGTTGAATTTATTTAAATCTTGATTCCCTTTTTCCGTCTTTGTGGAGACGATACTCGTACTAATACCCTATACCGCTACATATTTTAAGTGAGAGAAAACTCACATCATAATCTAAGTCAAGGCCCAAAACAGTGGTGCCCGAAAAAAACGAAAAATATTCATGATGAAGTCAATCATCATGGCTCCAAATAATTTTATGAGCTAGTCCATGGCGTATAAAAAGGGTTTTTTACGAGAATATTACTAAAACAAAACTTATTTACATAAATATGACTATTCATTACTACAACGTAGTGGTGTGGTAACTAAAGTTCAAAACTTGAACATGAATTACTATGATTTCATTACTACTCTAGTAATGAATCATATTTTTGTAAACCATCTTTATTTTGATCATATTTTTGTAATTAGTGTTGTGATTCCACTTGAGTTAAAAGTCAATCATCTCATGTGATGAAGACATACTGATAGACAATTTATAAGTCCTCGCAAGTGCATGAGTCACAATAGTACAATGTTCAAGTAAGGGTCGCATCCACGGGGAAAATGTAACTACGTACTTGGAAAACTATTAATTAATAAAAATTAAAAGTGAAAGTAATCTAACAAAAAAATGAGTTTTGAATTTGTTTGAGTTGAAACTGAAAAAGTAAAGCTTGAATTAAAATGGATGCAAGGAATTTAAATGACTAAAAATAAAGTGATTAAACAACTAACGGGAAAGTGATTGAAAACTTAGCAAGATAAAAGATAGTACAGGATTATGATTCAGTCACTAATTTCTAGTATTTGTGATTTAGTTAGTCAATTAATATCGAGAATTCGTTCGAGGCAAAAATATGACTATTCCTTATGACATCCAGAATAAGTCACGTACTTTAACTATTAATCATCAGGAAATTATTAATTCAATAGTTAAAATCCATTAATCACAAAAGAACTACGGAGACCCGATTTAAGAATCAAATAGATAACCTAAAAAGACAGATGAATTGTCTATTCTTTTATCCAAAAGAGCTCGAACTAATAGGCATGGCATGAAATTAATGATATTAAAGTTGGCATATTGATCTACTCAATTAATCCACTCAAACAACGTAATTAATCATATTAAAGTTGGCCAGAAATTAACTTTATCAATTAAGCGAATAAGAACAATGGATAAAACTCAATCAATTAACATAACTATAATCACAATTCATACTAAATCATAGCAACATCATCATAATCAGGACTTAAGAATTTAGCTACTCATATCAAAATGGTTGATTAAAACAGTGACTGAAAAAGAATTCATCCCAACCATGTTAATCAACAAAAAAGTAATTGTGTTATTATGCTAAAATCTGAACATGCAAATACTTAATAAATAGCAAAAGTTCAACAAAGCAACTAACTGGAATGAGCGAATAATTTAAATTACCCAAACAGACCACTTTTATATGCTGTATATCAATTATGTCGGCACCACTTTGGGTTGGTTTGCAACTCCTTTTAAAAAAACACTTCTCAGCTTTTGGCTTTAAAAAAGCATTTATTTTTCCAAATACTACAACTTTTATTTTTCTCGGTTTCCGCGTCAAAAGTGCTTTTACTTTTTCTATTATACAAAAAGCACTTATTTTACCAAACACTATCCACTTTTACTTTTTAAAATCACTTTTTTCTCAAACACTATCAACTTTTATTTAATCATTTCTCCTCATTTCATTAAATAAAACACTTTTTTAAAAGCAGAAGCTGTTGAACAGACCCTTTCTCTTTTCATTCTTAAGCTTTTCTGTTTTCAATTTTGGAATTTTTATTTCAATTTTATAGCTCCTCCTCCCACCTCCCTCTATACATACCTACGTTTAAACCTCTTCCTATCGACTCCATTGCTTCAGTATCTGTTTAATCTCGCAATAAAACTCTGCATCTTATAATTAGAGTATCTGAGGTCACGGGAGTTATCATCCACATCAAATTGGATCGAGTTCTCACCACACGGGAATTCGCCGCCTCGCTCTCAGAGTCTCGCTGACGCCACAGGACAAGTTCAGAGTATCTGGTACAATGATAGCTCCGCCATCCGTGTTCTCTGCTCCAACGGCTGTAATTGGGAGGTCTGCCGCTGCCGATGCTTCCCTGATGAGAATAGAAGATGGGTCTATCAATGGTGTGCCTAGAAATTCGGTAATTCTCACGATTCCATAGCTAAGGTTATTGATGAACCTTTTTTGGAAATCAAATCATATCTTTCCTTTTCATATATTCCTTGTGCTTTTACACTCCAATTTTCCTAAGACGCCGTTAAATTCGCTTACATTTTTTAGATTACTGTTATGCGATTTTGTTATACTTTATATGTGTGTTTAGAATTCAAGTTTTTATTACATATTCTGGTTTTGTTGGGGTTTTATTTTAGTTCATTGACTAGATACTTATGAATGATTGAGAGATTCCAATGTTGCTCTTTTTATTATAATGTGTCCTGAGTGAATGTTTTTTGACAATTTTAGTTCCCAGATTTGAAGTTGAATACTGAGTTAGCTGGTGTACTTGGGATGGTTTCTCTTAATGTTGTTCAAATATGGTCCACTGTTTGGTCATTTATAAATTCCTTTGTGCTATATCTCTTCTGCTTTGACCATTGACATAATCTCATTAACAAAGATTCATTTGTCTGCTCTTCATTGGTTACTTTCACTACTCTATTCAAGGCAGATATAGTTTTAATCAACTTTGTGGCGCTTTTTAGAGGTAGGAAATGGAATCCTCTTCGTTAGGAAATGGAGCAACATGTTGTCGACTCACTTATGTTCACTCATCTTTTCCTTTTGCTAGTAAAGTAGTGTAAGATGTTTTCTGAATGTAAAGATCTTTGTTTTTGCAGGGACAGAAGGTTGTCCATAGTAAAGGTGAAACACTTGCTTCTTTTCGTTTTCAACTATAACTTATTTAATTAGGGAGCTTATTTGTAAGTTGCAATACTAGCCAAGGAAGTTTGTACCAGTACAAGAGAAATCATAGAATAATTCCTCTTTCGTGGTCTAGTCAAACTAAACAGATCTTTTTTATTAAGGTGGTAGGATACTAGGTTCAGATCTTTGGTTTATTCAGGATCAGTGCAGAAGAATGTTATGGAGGCACATTTTTTTAAAAAGATCCAAGACCTCTTTTAATGAATCGAGTTGGGATCAAATACAAGGAATCTACTTCTCCATTAATTCACATTACGAGGAGTGTAAATATGAATTGTTATGTTGCTTGCACTACTCTTCATTGACATACTGGAACACCATAGTACAAGGTGTTCAAAAGGAAGAAGTAGAGACTGTTTTCAAGAATCCTTAGCAGTCTCATCTTGCAGCCAACTTGCTTGCCACTGCTTGTCATAGAAAGTGGTCTATCTCCTCCTCCAGCTTCTTGAGCGTCTCTATTTAGGGGAAAGAAGTAGACCTTCAAGGCTCTTGTTAGAGTTTGGGAATGAAAGCACCTCGAATTCTAATGATTTTCTTTATATCCTTCAACAATGTGCAAGGCTGCCTGGTCCATTTGTGAGGATGAAAGTGAATTGAACTACTAGAAGTCATTCTTTTATGCTAGTAATCCATTGGTGAGGATGATCCTGGTGTTGTATGTATCTTTGCAATCACATAACTTAGCGTTGTTTGTGTCTTTTTTAAAGCTTATATTTTCCCCTGGATTTGTGTTTTCAGACACTCAGTTTGATGAATATTGTGAAGGATGACCCTAATATATGCTATTTTCTGCATATATACAAGAAGGGTGATACTAAGACTCAGAGGATCAATGGGGAAAAGAAGACAAGAGAGCCAAGCATGAGAACTTATGTGTTATGATGCCTAAAAAGAAGAAGAAATGATAAGAAGCAAAGCCAAATAGCATACTCAATAATGTAATAAATTGAATTATATATTTATTGTGATAGTTTTATATGTTATTTTTTGTTTCTTTTTGTTGTATTATATGTGTTTCTTTTTGTTGCATTATGTTTCATATTGTTGCATTGTGTTGCTTATTGTTGTTTATAGTTGATTATGATTTCAGTTATTTATTTAGGTTTCTATTTATCTTTGCTACTTGTGTGGCAGAAAAATTATTTATAGATATTCAATCACCTAAAATGATAAATTTTGATTTATGAATCTCAACAACAAGAAACATGAATAAACAATAAAAACAAATTATGCAAAATTTGCAACAAAAATAAACATAAAGAAACAAAAAGAAACAACGGGCAACAAAAACTAACAATAAAATTATAACAAGAATTAAGCTATGTAACACCTTACAAAATTAATAAAATCATACTTATACTTATTTCCCATTTTTTAAAAAAATTATTTTTCTCTTTTTAATTTATAATTTTTTATGATTTTTTTTAGTTTCTTAAATTGAAACATTTATTTGAATTTCTTAAGTTTTAATTTTCTTTTTATATTTTGCGGTTTTTAAAAGTTTACTGTTTTCATAAAAATCTTGAAATTCCTTTCATACCTTTTTATAGTTCTGGAATACTTTTTTATTTTACTTTACATATTTTGTCTATAAGTTTTAGATGTTTAGGGTTTTTAATAAATCACATGCTTTTGAGCTTACATTGATTTTCTTATTTTAATTTTTATGAATTATATATTCTATTTATATTTTAATTTAAATATTTAATTTAACTTTAGAATATTTTTAATTTATATATGTATTTGAATTTTATAGATTTTTTATTTTTCATATATTCCAATTTTTAAGAAGTAATCTTTCAAAAGAAATCTAATTACTTTTTATATGTTTTAGTTTCAGAACATTTTTATATTATTTTACATTTTCAGGATTTTTTTTTAAATTTATCTTATTGGCTCAATTGGAATTTTTATTACAATTTTTTCTGAAATTTTTATTTTTACTTTGAATACTATTCTATTAAAAAGACAAAGATGTGGCACTTAAGATAGGGAACTTATACACGGAAGTAGCTAGGCCGCCCACTGCACTAGAGATACGCAGTTAATCACTTATAAGAGCAAAGTTACGAAACTTCCCTGCCTGCAAACGAGTACGTACAACGCATGGTCTATTTGTGAAAGAAAAAGTTTAAGTTGTCTAATTTTGAAAAGAACTTTGCATGGTGATAAAAGTGATATTATTTTCACTTTTAAGCCTATTTGTGATAAATTCCCTAATTTTTTTAGATTACGGTAAACCCTTTAGCCGCAGATTGGAATAGACATGGGCGGATCCAGAAAGTTGAAATGAGGTGGGCTAAAATAAAACTTCGACACACTCATCCATATGTACTAAAAATGGAAAATCGCATATATAGTCCCTCAATTATCAACGAAATTAAAATTCCAGACCTGTATTTTTGTGATTGTAAATGTCATCCTTCAAATGTCCAAATTGTTGTGAGTGTAGTCCTTTAAGTAGTGAAATGTACTCTCGTCTACATTGTATATTTCACCCCCAAAAGGACCACATTTACAGCATTTTAAACAATTGAAGGGTGACATTTACAATCTCATAAATAAGGGTATGAGATTTTAATTTTGTGGATAACTGAGGGACCATATATGCGATTTTCCCTACTAAAAATCTTATATATTCATTAATTAAAGACTTTAATTGGGATGAGGTAAATATTTTAAGGCACATATATAATAAAATCTTAAGTGCATTGACACGACTTCAAAATCAAAATATAAAACTCATCTATAAGAAATTCTCGATTAAGTGAATTTGTTATTATTTGTGTTAAAAACAATTATGTAGTAAAGTAATACTCAAATTGAGTGAATCAACTGAATCAATTAAATTTGGTGAAATTTTGGTTGAAATATCTGAATTAGCTGATGAATTATGAAAAAATTTATGAAAAAAAAACTAACTTCTTTCAATTCTGTTAGGAAAGTAGAGCTTATCTTACTAATTTTTTTTTTTTTTTTTTTTTTTTTTTTTTTTTTTTTTTTTTTTTACCCCGGAAGGCCAACCACCAAAATCAGTGGGGTAAATGCCGGGGGACATTTACCAAATTTTATTAATAAAAACAGAACTAGTAACAGCTTGAGAGGGGGACTAGACCAAAACCTCCAAAAGTGTAAAACCACACAGCGAAGTGATAAAAGAAAACAAAATTAGCTAAAAATATAAGGAACCTCCAATGCATCTAGCCTAATAACTCCTTGAAGCCCAAAATGTAAACTCCTCTCCTTCCTCCAATTAAACTCTCCTTTTAAGCCCATCTTACTAATTTTTATTATTATGCAATTTAACGCGAGAAATCAAAAGTTATAAAAAGGGTAGATAGGCCCTCGAACTTACATAAAAAGGTCAAATAAGCTCTTATATAGGAGGCTCTGTCCAGGCATCGTCATTTAGGGCGGTTCCCGGTGGAATTTTTTGATGAATTTTTTTTAGCATCTTATTCATTAAATCTAGTTTACTCACACCAAATTTCAGCTAAAACTTCAATCGGGAACGCATTCAAATGAATTCTTGAAGATAACTGCGCAGTGAATATCTTCAAGAATTTATTTGAATATCGAAGCAGAACCTTATTGTTTAAGGAAAATTCTAAAGAAAAGGTCAAGAAGCTAACCTTAGAAAAGGAAAAGATAGAAGTAAATGTTTGTGACTTAACTAAACAATTGAAAGCTTCTGAACTTGAACGCATCATAGCGAAAAACAATTTTGATTTTATTCAAACGGAACGATGCAAATTATATTCTAAGATCAAGAAGTTGGAGGACTTAGGGTCTGTTTGCAACAACTTCTGCTTTTAAAAAAGTGCTTTTTTTAATGAAATGGGGAAAAGTGATTAAATAAAAGTTGATAGTGTTTGAGAAAAAAGTGATTTTGAAAAGTAAAAATGGGTAGTGTTTGGTAAAATAAGTGCTTTTTGTGTAATAGAAAAAGTAAAAGCACTTTTGACACGGAAGTCGAGAAAAATAAAAGTTGTAGTGTTTGGAAAAATAAGTGATTTTTTAAAGCCAAAAGCTGAGAAGTGCTTTTTTAAAAGCAGTTGCAAACCAACCCTTACTTTCTAAGAAAGGTCAAACAGAAGAAACCATTTTCTTAAATCAGCCTAAAGACACCACTTTCTACAATCCCAATGAAGGCTTAGGTTTCCAAAACCCATGCAACATGAAGCAAGTCAACTGTCGACAACTGTATGACATTGGATATATGGGTTTGGGCTTGACGAAACTTATGTCCTTCGTGGGAGCGTCAGAAACTGATGCCGAAGAAAAAGAAAAGAGAGAAAATAATCGTAAGGCTGAAATCTCGTTTGACTACACTAAACTGAATGATAGTTATAAGACTAGGGAAATTCCTTTGTCTGATGACTATGTATCACTTTGCCCACCAGCAAGTGAGTTTGAGTCTGTGTTTGCAGGGGAAGAAAAATTTGTTTCTGAAAAATCCGAAACTGACAATGTTTACATTCCAAAGATCATCTGTAAAATTACAGACTTGCACAGATATTGGGAAACTGAATGGGAGGTTTTCAAAACAGAAAAAAAACAACTTTTAAATGAGATTTCTCTTCTCAAGATTGCCCCCAGAACAGACACAACCTCTACCTCCTCTCCTATTTCAAAAAGTGTTTTTAAAGAAAGTTCAAGTTCAAGCTCTCAATCATTTAGCTCAGCCACACACCATTCTTCTCAGTCTTCTTCTAATGACTCTGGATCTGCGTTTTCTCGTTCTAGTGCTGAAGTCTGAAAGCCTGAGAAACTTAAGCAAAAGGTTCAGGCTTCTAAACCTCATTGTGATGTGAATGATGGCAAATCAAAAAAGAAAAGATTTGAAGCTTCAACCTATACTGTTTGTGATGGTGTTTGCCTGACTTATCCCCTCAAGGTTTATTCAGCCAAACACCTGAAACGGTTATCAAGGGAGAAAATTTTTACTTCTTGAAAATCTGTTCCATCATTCACATGCGCTGAAAATTCTCATTCACATGCAATAACTCAAAAATGGGTTTCTAAATCAGAATCTCAGTCATATAACTCTCCAAAACCTTCAAAAGAGACTGGTTTAGGAACTAAAATAAAACAAATATTTCAAAATTTGTTCTGTGCTAGAAGGGATAGACCCGCCCTGAAATGGGTACCAAAGGTTTCTTAACCCTTGCAGGTCCATCATGTGTGGTAACTGATCAGATTGCTCCACACACATGGCGAGTATGAAGAGATGTGAGCAATCAACAGGTGCACATTATCAAGGAGAGTATTGACGTGTATACTCTCCACCGAGTTGAATGTCAACAAATGCACCTCCATAATCGCTACACACACGTCAACAAGAGTGAAAAATATTCTTCCAGGAAAACAACCATCTGACCCACTACCATGACTTGTATGATGAAAACAAATTCATTGCTGATGGTTTGTGGAACTTGACAAACTCCATGTGCTACACCTATGCTCGTTGCACCCGATCAGTCTGTATTGTCACGACAACATATTATGCTCATCTGGGTGTCTTCTGAGCAAGGTGCTACACAGAGGGAGAGAAAGACTAGAAGAACACCAGGTGCACATTATCAAAAGGGGGTATTGGCGTATATAGTACCCCAACGAGCTGAAAATCAATAAATGCACACCTCAACATCGACACATGCCAAGAACAAACAACAAGTGCTTATTCTGAGGGGGAGTGTTTCTTTTCACTCCTCTTGGTGCCTTACAACGAAGAAAGCACATATCAAGGGGGAGTTTTCTACCTTACTCCCCGAGTGTCAAACAACACCTTGCACATTCTGAGAGGGAGTTACAATTTTCTCCTCTTGGCACCAATCAAGGATTAATGCAAGACAACCCAAACATGTTATGGCAGAACT